AAAAGTATGAGGAAGCTACTTGCCAATACATTGGCAGCGGTTTTTTTACTATTCATGACAATTCATATGTTTTCATATATATTATTTTAAAAAAGTAAGAATTTTTTCCGAATATTTTTTAGTTAAAGTTTTGAAAGTTTATAAATAAATGTATTTCAAAGAAAAATTGGATATGAATTATACAATAAATATTTACATTACTTGTTGATTATAACAGGAAATCTTTATTGAATACTAGTTACATGGTTACAAATCTTGTTTCTCAAGTCATCTGATGCATAGCGTCAATGAACATTATCAATGTTAAAAAGAATGAAATGAAACCGTAACAAAATAATTAAAAAAAATAAGAATGAGAAGACGAAGATCATTATGTACGCTATGCGAACATACCTTTTCGACGCTGTTAAGGAATACTAGCACGTTTCAATTTATTAGCGAAAACTAACATCAGTATTTATTCTGCAACGAAAAATAGCATATTTCAGGGACCTATCTGGAAAACTAACACTTTTCGATGATCTCTAACGAAAACTAACACTTTTTGGTGTTCTCTAACGAAAACTAACACTTTTTGGTGTTCTCTAACGAAAACTAACACTTTTCGATGGTCTCTACGGAAAACTAACATGTTTCGTCGTTATATCGACGCTGTTAAGAAATACTAGCACGTCCCAATTTATTAGCGAAAACTAACATCAGCATTTATTCTGCAACGAAAAATAGCATATTACAGTGACCTCTCTGGAAAACTAAGACCCTTTTCGGTGTTCTCTACGGAAAACTAACATATTTCTTCGTTCTCTAAGGAAAACTAACACTTTTCGTCGTTCTATGAGGAAAACTAAAACATGAGGCATTTCACACCAAGTGTCCTAGCGCGTCGCCACACGGTTCAATTAAGCGAAATCACTCTATTTCCTCTCGCGTAAAAAGTATCGAAATACACTCAGAAAAAATATTTAAGTAATAGTTTCGATAGGAAATTTCCTCAGCTTTCCGATGGTGCGGTCAGATTTTCCGAAATTTATCATTTTCATCGGAAAAACTTGATATAAACTTTAAAATGTCAATATCTCAAAAACGGCATTTTTAAGATTTTTCAAAATAGTTCCAATCGAAAGCTGAGGAAATTTGCTATCGAAACCAATACTTAATTATTTTTTCTGAGTGTATTTTGATACTTTTTACGCGAGATGGAAATAGAGTGATTTCGTTTAATTGACGTATGGTGACGGGCTAGGGCACTTGGTGTGAAATGCCTCACATTGAAATAATACTTTTACAAATAATTTTTGTTAATGTACAGAGACAGTTTTTTATTTACTCCTAGCGTAACCACTTTGAGCTATTATTTAGTTCAATCGCTCCATTTCTAATTCGCTGCAAAAGGACCATAATTTAACTAGAAAAAAAATAATTCATCTATTCGATAGGGAATTTCCTCGACTTTCCGCACGTGAGGTCAGATTTCTGGAAATGTTTCATTTTTTCAGGAAAAATCGCCAGAAAAGAGAAAAAAACCTAATTTTTTTAGGTCTAGTCGGCGTTACGTGGTAATTTACCCGAAAAAAATGGATAATTTCAGGAAATCTGATCTCAAATTCGGAAAAATGAGAAAATTTTCTATCAAAATGATAACTTGGTTTTCTTTTCTAGGTGGATTAGGTACTTTGAAAGAAAGTTAGACGTAGGGCGATTGGACTAAATAATAGCTCGAGACAGGCGCGTTATAATTAAATCAATATGTATTACTAATTCCATCATTTTTTTTTGCAACAACAATCCAAACGTGCCAGTTTTCGTTTGACCTTTTGAAATGTGCTAGTTTTCGTTTGAGTTTTTGAAACATGCTAGTTTTCGTTTGGCCAATGTGAAATATGCTAGTTTTCGATTAGCCCTTTGAAATATGCTAGTGTTCGATTAACATCGAAATTTTCAAATAAATGCTAGTTTTCGCTAATGAATTGGAACGTGCTAGTTTTCCTTAACAGCGTCGTTTTATCTTTTATCTCTTAAAATCATATAAAATTACACGTAACAGAGACAAAACTATTGTCTGCATAGGTACAAAAAGGAATTATAATTTTATAATTGTATCAGGTCATCAATTTGTTCAATAACCTCCACATCTATTTCTGGGTATTCTTTCATAGCTTTCAATTTTTTTCTGGAACCGCTTATTGCTCTGTTTGCATAATCATTAATTTTACCCATATGGTAGCTTATTACAGATGGATTATCGTTATAAAAATTTAAATAATGTTCAAAATGCTTCTCAACCGGGAGCTTTTTATCCGGGGTCAGTTCCTTCAGAGTACCGGTTTTTGCTGATCTCACAACGCATCTTTTAGCCAATGCATCATGACCCCACATTGCCTTAAATATATTAGCACGAAAATGTGAAGGTTCTTTCTTTTTGTATGCATCTTCAACCGCAGACCTTTTAGCGAAAACCCTGCTCTTGGTATTGATAATGGTGGGCAGGGCTTTTCTTTTCAATTCAAACACACGTTTTTTTGCATCATCAGCCTGTCAAACAAAAAATGATAAAAAATTAAAAAATAATGAATAAATAAAATATATTCATAGGGTTTAACACAGGGTGCCCATTTAACAAACATTTAGTTAAATTTTGTATACTATGACTCAAAAAAATATCATTTTACTGATGATAAAATGTTATTTATATACATATATTTTTATAAATGTTATTATTTTTAATAATTATTTACTAATTTATTTGATATATTTATATTATGCCTTGATTTTAATTTTTATACTTATTTTAACCTCTGTATATTTCATGATTTTTTAAAATTAATATTTACATATTTATATTTAACAATTTCATTTAGTATCATTGTTTTAAGCACAGGATATTTATAACTTCTAATCTATGATATATTTACATAATAATCTGTCTTTGTGTAAGAAGATTATTTAATTAAAGTATTATATCACATTCAGTATTCAAATTAGTATTACATTACATTTAATTGCTGTGATTTGGTTTTTATACCTATTATAGATTTGTACACTTGTTGTTTTATTGTTATTTGTTTATTATATATTGATTTATTCTTTGTTTTTATGTCACATGTTGTTTTGTTTTAATTTTTAAAATTTTTGATCATATACTATTCATTTTGAATGTATATTATCTAATTTATCACTTTAAAATCACTTTACTTTATTTGTAATTGTAATTTTAAACTTGTGAATCATCTCAGATTTAATATAATTATTTTTGATCACCTTTGTTATTTGCTAATTTAGAAATCTTCTTTTTAAATAAATTGCCTTGGTCATATTTGATGATAATAAATACCATATAATAGCCTATCATGGTATCAGGCTTAAAACAGTCAATTCCAACTGACTGAACAGCATTATTACTTTGTGTTTTTCTAGTTTTTAAACACTTATACAAAAAATAAAGACTATAGCTCAATTGGTATACTATGCAAGTCGCAAAGAGCGAACCTATTTGAGCTAAAATTACAGTATTTTACTATTAGTATTAATACAAAACATTGAAATAAAACTTTTATATTATTAAACTCACTGTTCCTTCTTTTTCATCCATTTTTGACATTTCATTGATTATGTTTCAAGTGCCAGATTACCTCATGAATGATGCTGGAAGTCACCAATGATAAAGATAAATAAATAATGTGATTTGGCGATGATACAATCAGTTATATGCTTCTTTTTCTTTTTCCCAATAACTTGACACAATAAATTCACACTTTTTAAGCACTGTTAAACTGTTGACGTGCTCAATTTGCAAATGCAGAAAAGCAACTTTGATTTTCATAACTATTAATAGCACCAAAAACATATTTTTTCACTTGCACAAGTCCCACTTGTTATTTTGCACAATTGTTGAATTATTGAAAAAACTTTTAAATATTACAAATTCCACTTTTCTTCTGCTGTTGCAATGACTTCTACTCATGCATTTTCCATGGACATCCAAAAGAGAAACCTGTAAACAACCACAAAGAATCAATTTTCTTACAGACACTATAACATAAAGATGCACATAACCAAAATACTTATCTGACAGCTGTCTTCTTTTGAAGTTTTTGACCTCTTAATTCATAATTTCACTAAAAAAAACTGCATGCACGTAAACTTGAGACTGTTATGAAAGTGCAGGCAAAATTTGAACGACATAACTGCACTTTAACTATCATTTTGTTATAATTAAAAAAAAAGTATTTTTCTCTGCCCGAAACGAGTTTATTGTACTGTAGCTGACGACAGCGCTGCACTGCTGCCGGCGTAGCGAGAGCAAGAGAGACAGATAGACAGACGGGCAGAGTGAGAGAGATAGGTATAGCATAGATCATACTCATATAGGTAGACCGGAGAGTGGGAAAGAGATGGAGATAACGAGAGATGCTTATGTTCATATATGCGTATAGAACATAACGGGCGCTACCGTTTGAATATGCTACAGATTTCGAATGCAAAAAATTTGAATGTTTTCTTTTACAATGCAAACCGAATTTTTCTTATTCGTTACTTCATCATCATCGATTCAACACCTTCTCCAATATTTGACACTCCATTCGTCTAATACTTTCACGCATTTTATTCATTTATTGAAAATAATTTTAAGTAAATATAAGTAGTATTTTAAGAATCATTTCATTTTATTCATTATTTAATAATTTACTTACTATTTAATTATTAAAATCTATCTTTTATCATTCACTTCAATTAATTAATTCAATCAATACAATCAATTTTAATTCTAATTTCAATTCATTTTATCAATTTTTTAAATTAATCTCGCATTTAATCAAAGCTACTTATACGATTTTTATTTTGATTTTTACTTGTAACCACTTATATTTGTTAATTCTATTTTGAATAATCACAAAAAATGAGTGAAGAATATTCGAGTGCTAGTGCTCATTTGATGGAATTAGACGGATTCGAAGAGAATTACGCGAACAAAAAAGAATTTTTTTCTCGCTGCTTTTATGCTTGTAAAGCGATTCTCGAGGCAAAAGGTTTTTTAAGTGAAATTAGTTACTGCAATGAATCTACAGCTAACATCAAGGAAACGGCTGAGAATATGGCCAATCTACTCATTGACTACTTTGAATTATTGGAGCCAGTTGAGGAGGAAAACCTATTTGCTGTCGATGAAGAAGTTCCTGAGAGTTCTCAAGAATGCTCATGTGACTCGCCTACATGTTCTCAATCATCTGATGCTTCCAATGGTACGTTAAGCTTTAACTCACATATACATTTATTGTTAACACATTTCACTTAATTTTCCTTGCAGCATTTGTTGAAGAGGAAGAATACATTCCTGAAAAAAAGAAAATTAAAATTGAAAAAGTGCCTTTAGAAAAAAAGATTATGATTTATAACTTGGCAAGAGAACATCCTCAATGGTCATTGGAATCTATTAAAAAAAATGGTGGAGCCAGTTTGACCAGAAAAGATGAATTGACCAGATGGAAAAAAGAAATCCAAAAAGGAGGTACCAAATTTGATAAGATGACCCATATCAAAAAATGGACCTATGATAGATTTGTTGAATCAAGGCAGAGTCGACGTCCAGTTACTACTAGGAATCTGCAAGAATGGGCTTTGCAAGCAGCTAGACCATTGATAAATGATTCTTTTTCCTTTGACGCATCTAAAACCTGGGTCTGCAATTTCAAAAAAGAATTCAGAATAAGCCAAAGAAAAGTGACAAGATATGTTAAACCAACAGAGAGTAAATCTTTGGAAAGTACTTTACAAGCATCAGATCAATTTTCTAAGGAATGTATAGAAGAGATAAAAAAATATGATCTTGACTTTGTAATTAATACTGATCAAATGGGCTGTGAGTACCGAGCTAATGTTAATAGAACGTTGGATACAAAAGGTACAAAAATCATACAAGTGGGCATAGGAGATTTAAACAAAGTTACTCACAGCTACACAGTACAATATTCCATTACGGCATCTGGTAAACTTCTTCCTCATGTTTTCATTTGCTTGCAAGAACCAAAAAATGAGTTTGGACCGGTAGTTGAAAACAGAGTATCAAAGCTGTGTGACGGTCGACTCCCCGTGTCCACCGTGCACAAGGCGTTCCTCGTTGCCTGGCCGACTTTGTCGATATCCGACGCGCCAGACAAGCGACAGCTTGTCGTCGGCCAGGGTCCGGCTAGCTCGGTAAAGGACGGGAAAGGGCGTGAAATACTACCTCTGGGTCGTGGGTACGACTCTCCTCCTGGAGGGGACGCCGACGGGTATGGAGCGGGGTCTCCGGTGGCTGCAACACTGCACCTATAAAAACACCTGTAAACGAGAAAGTCCGCGAGAGAGAGAGGAAAGGAAAACGACGGGTCTTGTAAATAATAAGACAGTGAATTTCAGTTAAAACAAATACTCTTTTATTGAAGCTACTCTGAATATTCATTCACACACAGCCGAAGCTATCTCACTCACATTCACACCGGGTCGCGGACGCGAGCTGCGTTGCCGTTTGGAGGGTCGGCGCGAGCGCGGTAATACCAAAAACCTACTCACGGCACTCCTCGCCCTCGAGGCTCGCGACCACACGGGTAGACTCCGCGTCGCCGGGGTCTTAGAAGTTCCTGCTGCTCTCTCCGTAGTCGCCTGTTGGCCACAGACGCGAGAAGGGACGGGCCGGAGGGGTTGAAACTCGTTACTCTCGATGACGACTCTTGGTGCGCCGCACGGATCGCAAGCACTCACACTCGATTCGTGGCCACCAACTTCACAATCTCACCGATTCACGCCTTCAACTCACTCACACCCAACAGCACACTTCACTACTACAAAAACTCTACAACACTCCGACAAAACTACTCCACAATGCTCGCGTACATAGAGCTCTGCTCTGCTCGGCGGTCCAACTACCAATCTTCACTCTCTGACTGCTCCAACTCAACTCTCTCGTCGTCTGCACACGTGCAGGCTCCGAGTTCGCAACTTGTAATGGGGCACGGGCCGCTCGCACGCAGTCACGTGGTACTGCACTCGCGAGAGGCCACAGTGGGACCGACTACAATGGTCGCGACTCATGCACGCATTCACCCGAAAACCTCACATCGGACGCGTTTACGACGCGTCGCTGGCGTGCTCCGACGTTCGCCTATAGCGCAACGTCACAGCTGGAAGAAGAGTACAAAAATATAGTTGTAATATGTTCCAAATCTGGCAAATTATCTTCATCATTATTTTCTAACTACCTTGTCAAAGTTCTTCAACCGTATGTGGAAAATAGAGAATTTTTGTTGATTTTGGATAGTTGGGGTGGACAGAAAAATTTAGATCTATACAAAAATTTCAAAGATGATAACGATGCTCCAACATGTCACTTGAAAATGATTCCACCGGGTTGCACTGGATTCAATCAACCCCTTGATGTATATTTCCATCGCCAGTTGAAGATCTTTATCAAGGAACTCCAAAATTCCACATTTTTATTGGAGAAACAGATGCAAATTAATACTAGAGAAGATTGCTTGAAGATCCATTCTTTAGTACACAATCAAATGTCAGCTCCAATTTTAATTCAATGCTCATGGTGTCGACGTTCCCTGTGCTTTGATTCTTTATATAATAAATAACCATCCAAAACATTGCATAGTATTTCAAAGAGTTGCACAATAAATTTCATTTTTTCTAGTCCCACTGAATTCTTTTTATTTTTTTCACTTTACTATTTCTATACTTTTCCATTGACTTTTTCTTTTTTTTTCTTGTACCAAGCAATTGTCAAGTTGAATTATAATCTGCAATGAAACGTTAACACAAAGTAAACAAAGATCTTTAAATTGTTAAAAAAAAGAGAAACAATAAAATACTTATCTGACTCTGGTATTATTCACATGTGATTTCATCTGTCACTAAACATGGTTATGAGAACATAAACAATTTCTGCTAGCACACTTGTCAGTTTCTATCACTCTGCCTGTCTGTCTATCTGTCTCTCTTACTCTAAAGAAAAAAACCCCAAATCAACTCATTATGATCATTGAGAACTTTGGAAAAATAATATTATAATACGAATTAATAAATTAGAATAAAAATTTCCCAAAAAACATTTTTATAATATTTTCCAATTCTTCATTCACAACATCAACCTGTTACAATCATCTAATCAAATGTTTATCGAAATCATCAAACATTTAGAGCTGAAGCCGAAATATTAAAAATACTTTTTTCGGTATTCTTGAAAAGATTTTCAGGAAAGTTTTATTTTATAACATACTGTGATGTCCAGCACCGCCACTGATATCATATGTTTTTTTTTTCCACCTACAATCATGATCGATCGATAATCGCTCGAATACCTACAGTAGAAAAATATCAATCCTAGATCATAGCGTTCCTAAGTTACCGACCTGATTAATGAATCTCATTTTAACAAATGATTAATAATTCTTATATGATTTCTAAATATTTTAACTCACTATGTTTAATTACTATGTTTAATGAATTTAATTTTTATTATAACTCAATGATGTCAATTAAATAGAAAATAACTCCATAAAAGTATAACTGCACGTACACTGCTGTATTAACTGCTGCACGTACACTGCTGTATTAACGACTCAAAATGATTATTTACAAACACAATATTACATTAAGCTTTA